AACGAAACACGCCGACAGAGAGTGAGAGAGAGGAAGGTCACCATGAAGGTGAGCGAGAGAGAGGTCACCATGAAGCAGAGAGAGAGAGAGGTCACCATGAAGCAGAGAGAGAGAGAGGAAGGTCACCATGAAGGAGAGAAAAAGAGAGAGGGGAAGGTCACCATGAAGGAGAGAAAAAGAGAGAGAGGAAGGTCACCATGAAGGTGAGAAAAAGAGAGAGAGGAAGGTCACCATGAAGGTGAGACGGAGAGAGAGGTCACCATGAAGGCGAGCGAGAGAGAGGTCACCATGAAGCAGAGAGAGAGAGAGGAAGGTCACCATGAAGGAGAGAAAAAGAGAGAGGGGAAGGTCACCATGAAGGTGAGAAAAAGAGAGAGAGGAAGGTCACCATGAAGGTGAGACGGAGAGAGAGGTCACCATGAAGGCGAGCGAGAGAGAGAGAGAGAAAGGTCACCATGAAGGAGAGAGAGAGAGGTCACCATGAAGACGAGCGAGAGAGAGGTCACCATGAAGCAGAGAGAGAGAGGAAGGTCACCATGAAGGAGAGAGAGAGAGAAAGGTCACCATGAAGGAGAGAAAAAGAGAGAGAGGAAGGTCACCATGAAGGAGAGAAAAGAGAGAGAGGAAGGTCACCATGAAGGAGAGAAAAAGAGAGAGAGGAAGGTCACCATGAAGGAGAGAAAAAGAGAGAGAGGAAGGTCACCATGAAGGCGAGAGAGAGAGGAAGAGAGAGGAAGAGAGATGAGGTGAATCGATAAATATCTCTCGGACTGATTGGAGCTAATTAGAGACGTAGAGCGGTTCTCTGGAAAAGCCGGGCTGGAATTGAGTTGGCCGAGCCGTCAGAGCCAATTAGGCAGCTGCGTTATGGGAGCAGAGAGAAAACACACAGTAGATTAAGACTAGAGCCGCCCTGTGGAAGCACCTGTGTGTGTGTGCGTGTGTGTGCACACAGTGCGTGTGTGGGGGTGTGTGTGCGTGTGTGTGCGTGTGTTCTTACCAGAATGACGTGTGGGGGAAAAATAGCGATCATTGTTTTGCGTGATAAACTCTGTTAGCGCTCGCCGCTTGTCACGTGTTTATGAGTCTCCATCATGCAACAGCTGTCAGCTGCCCGGCAAACAGCTGTGGAGATCCCCGGAACACACACACACACACACACACACACACACACACACACACACACACACACACACACACACACACACACACACACACACACACACACACACACACACACACACACACACTCCCAGTTGCTCTGCGCACATCTGGCCATAAATGCGGGTGATGATGTTTGATGCGGTGATTGCTGCTGCTTGTAATCACTCGCTGTAATGTCGGAGTCTTCAGTTTGGACTCAAAGCTTTTGTAAAGAGTTGGCCCGGCTCGCAGCCAGAAGCAGCAGCTCTGCTTCTGGCTGATGACTGGAAATAGATGAGTTATTAACTCTGAGCTTCACATCTGGACAAAGATCTGCGCTGAGAGAAGATGAGCGTCATCAGCATCGTGACGCTGTTGAGGATAATCTGGGCGTCTTGTTACAACTCAGCCTTGAAAATATGATCTAAGAATTTCCTCAGAGCGCAGGATGTTCAGCTCTATCAGCTTCTGCTTGGATTGAACTGAACGTTGAATCAAAGGAAATGACGTCAATGTGGAACCTCGCGCTTTCTTCCAAGAGCTGTTCATGTTCTTGAAACAATGTTTTAGAACTGTGTGTGTATGTTTTTTAATTTTCTGATGTTTTTCAAAACCTGATACAATTGAGATTTGTTTCTACAATTAGGAAATACATCACACTAAACTACTTCTAATGAAAAATACATAGATTAAGATGTCCGTATTGATGACGTCATGTATTGGATCCAGTTGAAATATTTTTAAATATCAGTTTTAGAAAAAGTGCGTTTTTCTGTCCTTCCAACCAAAACTTGACTCCACAATGAATTATTTATCTATCTCTGCTTTTTTTCTCCTGCCATTGTGTAAACAATGACTTTCTAACAAACTCCTGGTATCTCTTATTTTATTTTATTGTAGCCTATTGTCTTTTATTTATAACAGTGGAAAACAGACTGATTTTGCAGACTGTGTGTCTGTGGCGCATCGTTCCAACCAAGGTCGTTCCCATCATTATGGAAATTCACACTGAAGAGCGTCCCCTTTCTGCAGCGCCGCACTTCTTTAAATGAAGGCAACAAACTTAAATTAAAAAAAAAAAAGTTCATCTGTATCGTCTCCCTCTGCCTGGTTCGGTAGAACCTGCTCCGCGGCGATAAAACCCAAACCGCTCGCCGTCTGATCCGATTTGTGCGGCGCGTCTCGGCCTATCGGAGGACAACCCGGTTCTGGTTCCGGCTCGCTGGGAGCCGATACGGAGCGGAGTCAATCAGGGGACAGTGAAGATGGGGCCCACGGACGGGAGGCGTCGTGACGGGAGACGCAGCGGCGGCTGATAATTGGGCGTGGGAGTCCGTGGCAACAAAGCAACGCGGCCCTGGTAATAAGATTAATGATGTTGTGTTAGGCCTCGTTTCACTGAGGACTGGATTATCTCTTAACAGCCTCCCAAGGTGAAGGAAAGGACAATTACTAATACACAGATTCATCAGGCTCGCTCCCTGTTCGGGCTGAGATTGGACCGGGTCAGGCCTCATTCCCGCAGAAAAACAGCAATTCACTCCAAAATGACTTAACAAATTGCTTTGAGCTGGAGTTTTGCTGTCACAGTGCTGAGTTCAGGTCGAACACCTTGAAGGTCAGAGCCGTGACCCGAACACATGAAAACCTCATTAGAGATCATCTTTGGACCATGTCAGGGCTGAACGCTGCAGGGACATCTGGGACAAACACAGAGACACAGGAAGTGTCACTGTGGGGGGAAAATACTCACATTTATCCTGTTATTGCTGTTAGTGTTGTTTTGTTTTGTTTTGGTCGAGCCCTGAAGTTTCAGATAACTTTTAATCTCAGACACAGTGAAGCAGATTAAATATAAAATGCAAGTTTTATGATCATTTCATTAATAAACGAAAAGCTACACCCAAACCAAACCGGCTACGGGTGAAAAAGTAACTGATGCTGTTTTAAGTTAGAATTAGGCCAATTTATTTTTTTTTCTTTCTTAAAAGCTGAATTGAGCTTCACTGCCTGACCTGCAGGATAAACAGAACCTGTCTGGCAACACGAAGCACACTGCAGGACCCCCATAAAGACACTCAAGAAGGTGAAAAGATGAAGACGCCGAGTCCATCCGGCTGTAAAGGTTCACAATGAGAAACAAAACACAGACGAAGGAACCGGAAAACTTGGAAAAATCACTTCATGAATGCAACAATGACTCATGCAGGAGCAAAGAATCCAGGATTTGCAGGCATCACTCATGTAAGGTCAGAGTTCAAAACTGAACGAGAAACCAAAAAACTGAAACGTTCTGAGGACAAAAATCAGTTTTGACCAGAAATAAAATGCTTTCTGTGGACTGACAGGAACTCTGTAAAGAGTGTGTTGTATTGGATGTGAAGCAGAAAAACAACATTGTACTGACAGTCAGTGATTGGTTGTACTGACAGTCAGTGATTGGTTGTACTGACAGTCAGTGATTGGTTGTACTGACAGTCAGTGATTGGTTGTACTGACAGTCAGTGATTGGTTGTACTGACAGTCAGTGATTGGTTGTACTGTGTTGGTGCTGGGATTATTTTTGATTTGATACCTTCATGTTGTCAAATCCCCTTGAAAATCTTATCAAGGGGATTTTCTTATTCGTACTTCATTTGAAGATGAACGACATGCAATCCCATGGGTACAATCTGTTTTCTCACTGTTCCACTCAGGCCACACCCCCCACAGCTCAGAGGCGGAGCTGGTAAATGTGTGGCACTCTGTATGCCGAATGACTTTTGGGAACTTTTCAAACAAGATTGTCTGAAATGCACATGGATTTGATGAGAGAACGACGTTACAACGTGATGTAAAGATCAAATAAGTTGATTTTGTATACCAGATTGAAACCAGATTTATTGAGCCATTGCAGTTCAGGAAGCAACGATGACTCCAACGTTTCTGAGGAGGATAATAGGAGCAGTCACCTTTAAATCACTGATTAAACATAAACAGATGGTATGAATATAACAGATACTTATCTTAAAATCTGATTAAATTCAAATAATCCAGTAACTTCAAACTCAGTGGTTCCAGTTCTGTATGTCCAAACATGTTGTGAGCGTGTTGTTCGTGAACCAGCCTCCCCATTCCTCCCCATTCCTCCCCATTCCTCCTCATTCCTCCCATTCCTCCCATTCCTCCCATTTCTACATTTCAGTTCCATTTTTCTACGTCTGGTAACTGCATAACGTCTCTTTCAGTCGACATCATGCAGCGACAGCACACCAAGTGCACTGCAGAAAGAAAGCGAGCATAAATCATTCTATTTGCAATTAGGATAATAAAATGATTTCCAACAAACAGCATGGTGACATGTTGAGGAGGCAATAGGTGATCACCATGGAGATCGGAATACAGAGAAACCTTTTGGTTTTCCATACATGAAGAGGCATCATCGTACTTTCTGTTGCTCTGGAAGCCGTGGTGGATCGGCGCCTACCAAGATGGCCGTTCAGTGTTGTGGACCATGTGTGGGAACCATGTGTGGTGAGAAGCTGTTGGAAAACGAGCCAAAACGTTGGACCAAAGACAAAGACAAGAAGAAGACAAGACGACGTCATGAACTAGATTGAGAGGAGGAACAACAATCAGCTGAGCCTGGATGACTTACAAAGGGAATTGTCCCTAAACAACTGTACGTGAACCTCTGGCTTGAACTGTGTGTGTCATATTGGAACATGAACTAGGGTTTTTTTTTTGGAATAATTTTGCTTTGGCTGCTCGCTCTATCCAGAGTGAACAGGCCATGAGTCCAGAACACGGCCAGTCCGGGTTCCACCTGCTCCAGAAACAGTTCACTGTTGCAGTCACACACAGATGAACATTCCTTTATTGTGTCTTTATGAACAGTTTGCACATATATGATTTATCATCAGCAACAAGGATGACTCATCCATGACAACAGATCAGTTCAGAGTTGGTATCGTTTATGAAACAAAACGTCCGAATAAATAATGAGATGTGAACAAATCGGGCCTTTCTTTTCTTCCTTCCAGTGACTGAACATCTTGAATACATTATAAATCGATTCATCTAGCAAAAAACAGATCCTAGCTTTAGAAAATATGGATTTACAGTTCAAGCCCTGTGACTTCAATAGCATCCAAAAGGAAAACAAAAGTCTGAAACCAGTAGTAAAATGTCACTATAATACAAGAAATATAATAAAGTTCTCTAATAAAAACAGTATCAACCAACCGGAGGGAGTTCGACCAGAAAAGACATTCTCCTGTTCGCACAAATCAACAAGCTTTAGAAGTTTAGGCAAAGTTTTTAATTTGCAAACATTTCACTGACATGTTCTTTGTTGCCTTTTGTCAGGACTGAGGCAAACCATGTGAGCAGATGTCAAAGAAACACTTTATTTTACAGCCTTTGCAGTTCATGTGCCATGTTTTACCTCATAGTCACACTGATCTGTGTCTGCAGATACAGTACCAATAAAAATTATTCATTCCCTTGAATGTTCTTCACTTTATATCGATGCATCATGATCAGTAAAGTTTGGCTTTTTGAACCAAAGAGTTAAAACGCAACATTAAAACGCTTTAATGTTGAAGTAAAAATGTATTCCTCCAAAGTAATGACAATTAAATAAAGTATTTCACATAAAATAAATGTTGCATGAATATTCCTCATTAACTACATGCATATTTTATTTAATGGTAATGATTTTTGTAGTAATTGATTCTCACATTAACATTATAAATTTTTTTATTTCTGAATGTTTTTTTTTTTTCAAAAAAAGCCAAATTTTGTTGATTATGATTGATTTATAAAAACAAAATCATCCACAACCAACAGAAAGGGAAAACATTCAAGGGGGTGAATACTTTTTAAAGGCACTGCATTCACTTTTGGATCATCAAAAAAGAATCAGTACTGATCCTAAATTTACTTCAGTAGATTTAATACATGTTGTTGAAAAAAAATAAAGAAAGAAAGAAAAGTAAAAAAAATAACACAAGGATTTTCGGTTGTGCTACATTTCTTCCAAGAGAATAGAAAAAAAATAACACATTCAAAAATGTATAATTTTACCACCATTTTATGTCCAGAAATGACAATTTCTGAATTTCCATTTTGCATTACAGCAAGAACGGCGCCTGAAGTCAGAATGCTGACATCTGGAGGTCACCAGCGTGAGTCCAACATCAGTTTGCAGTATCGGTGACACGGCATGTAGTCATCAGCACATTTGACATGTTTCAAACACATTTCAAATTCATGAAATGTTCCTTTTGTGTTTCCGACACAAAAAAATGGAGAGGAAAATCAAAACAATTTGTGCTGCTGATGGCACTTAAGACCACAACTAAAAGCAGATCCTCGTGTCAACCTGGTTCCAGATCTGAGCTCTAACTTCTTGGACGAATGTGAAACGTCCACATCTGGTTACACAGCGGACGTTTGATGACACAGCGACAAGATGCGATGGTGTAAATCTGATGTGAAAGCTATGCAGTGTGATATTTTTGCATGAAAGATACATAGAATAAATATTGAAGCTGAGCAGAAATAGTGACTGTAATTTTTTACATTTCTATGTTTGGAAATATATCGATTATCTGCTAGTTCAGAAGGCATTTTGATCAACGATGACTGAATACAAACTCAATTTGTCTTGATTTAGCAAATAGGAAATGCCTTGATGGACGTGGACAGCCATTCTGGAGAGACTTTAAGTCTGTAAAAGTTATTGTTTTGCTCAAAAGATCAATATTTATTTATTTTTTTAATACATAGTATATATTATTTTTTTACAAATGCTCATAATTTACTTTAATTCTGTTATTTCAAGAGCGCTACCTAAATTACACAACTTATTAATTTCTTTAAATTGGCAGCTATAAGTTGGGTACTGTGTTTGAGTTAGCCAGCAATGAGCTAACAGTACAGGCAAATATTTTAGATTATCAAAAAAATGTTAACAACAGACAAAGACAACCTGGATTAATACGAAACACTGTTTTCTAATGATTTTATTTATTTCAGGAAAAATAAATAGTCAAACAGTGCAATTATCTGCTCAGTGGAAACTTTGCAGCATTCTTGTTGAGGACAAATCAGTTTTATTCCAAAATCCTTTTCCAGTCAACTCGATTCAGTTATTTTATCTGAATCGAGTTGACTGGAAAACAAAGGTTTTAGCTGTGATATAAAACCTGCAAGAAAAAAAACACTCCATCTTTTTTTTCTGCTAAAAATGGCGGGTTGAAATGCCTTCAAAATAAAAGACTCACTGCCCGACAATAAGGCTCCAGGGCAAATGTTACAGTGAAGCTTGATTTCTTTTTCATGTACAGGCAAGTTGTACATGAAGCCAACATTCAGCTGGGTTGGAGTGCAGGGCCTCCTTTCCTTATTAAATCCTTTTATTACTGAATTTATTTTTAAAACTGGCTTTATGTGTTTAGTCGTGTTATCTTTGTCTGATATTAAAATGTGCTTTATGATCTGAAAAGTGTCAAAGAGTCCCAGGGCATAAATACGTTGGGACAGCACAGGGGTAACATCTCAGACGGATCATCACAGTCATGCACACACACACCCACACACACAAACACACTCAAAAGGGTAAATTACATGTGTAGTTTTGAGCAGCCGGAGGAAGCTGGAGTACCCGGGGAGAATCCATGCATCTACGAAGGACGACATGCAAACTCCAACAACCCAGAAAGCAAAGCCAGGATTCAAACCCAGGAGATTCTTGCTGTAAGACGGTGGTGCTAGCAGCTGTGCCACCGTGTTGCCTCGTCCCAGATTCACTTTGATGTGAAACGTCTGCTCTTTAAGAAATTAAAACTTTTATTTTTCATGAAAAGTGTGCTTACGTTGAATCAATTCCTGAATCAAAGGCTGCTCTAATAAGAAAATGCATCCCTTTAAGAATGGACTCCTGTCAACTGATGTGCTTTCCAAAACACATTGTAATGTGTGTTTATACAGTCAATATAAAATATATTAATTTATATACAAACCTTATTTTCAAAGGTTTCATTTTTAATTAAACGAAAAACTAAATCGTCGTTAAGTCCTCCGAGCCTTTATAAGCCAGACAAACTGAAAATCTAGAGTTAGCGTCATTTCTGTGTGTTAGCACCGTAACACTCTAAAGACAGTTAGGAGAGGCAAAGAAAGTAGCTTTACTGTTAAATAACTATGAGTTAAAAATACTCATTTTAGTGACAACTGCATCCGTGACCGTCTGAATGGATTATAAAGATATTCTTGGATTTAAATATTTTGCTAAGCTAAACTGTCGCACCGAGGACATTGTTGAAGCAAAGAGTTGGATCAAAACAAAATTATACACTATCACACAAACCTGGTTTTGACTGTTTAAACATTAAATGTAAATAATAATAAAAAAAAAACATGTAAAAGTCCATATTTGTGGTATTATGGGATGGTACAGCATGGATAACTGAATGTTACTTTGGAAACATGCTAAAGTCACAACATTGTTTTGTTTCTCAGGAGTTTTACTTCTATTGCAAAATTTCAGATACTAAGTTTGTGCCGAGTAGGCCTGCCTGCAGTCCAGATCTTGACTCCTGCTGAGAGTGTGAGGTAGACTGAGAATCCCTTATTCAGCAAGCTGGCCACAGATTTACCTGTACACTGCACGTAATGTTAACACACACAAAACCCCAAAACCAAACAAAAAGCTGAAGCATCTCCCAACTGTCTGAGTGTTGCTGGCTTTAGCTTTTAGATTCACTTACTTTTTTTTGTCTGGTAAATAAAAGATGTGATAAATCACCTAATTTTTAGCTAGCGCCGTGCGTTCAGTTGTGTTTCAACCAGAAAGCCTTTTGAACACGAAAAGATTGTAGAATAAAGTGCACTATAGTTGAGTTATACACATCTTCCAGGCACAGCAGCTGCAGGCCGGCCGGCCAGGAGGTTCTGGGTCTCCAGCGTGGTTCGTGTTGGGAAGCAGATCTGACACCGCGGCCCGTTGTCAGAGCTAAAATCTGGGGTGAAGCTGGAGGTGAGCCAGCTTCAGGTGAGCCCCGGCTCATGTTCCTCACTTCAGTCTCGTTCTGAACGGCTCTCTTCTGAAGTTTATTGCTGCCTTTCTACAGCAGCATCAGAACCTTTCCAAACACACGACCTGTGCTACATCACCGCAGGGCTCAGGCTCTTCCCTGGGACTGGAAATCACACTACTCTCATATATTCACCATAAATTATCATTTTTTTTCACAGTAGACAACAAACTTAAAATAATATGTCATAATTAAGGCAGTCTTTTCATTCTTAAACAAGAGATATAACTGTATTCAGTAGGAAGAGAAAAAGAAAAGGTAGGTCCCAAAGGTGTCACGTTTCCTCGCTTCCACAGGCGATCGATCCCTTTACGTTTTGTTCTTAAATTCTCAAGTAAAAATCTTGAAAAGTTCTTAGGTAGTGTCTCGTCCTGTTTACCTGTCGTTTTTGTTTTTCAAGGCGTCCTTGTCGGCCTTACAAAAGCCTGGGACTGTAAAGCAGTCAGTGACCTCAGCTCTGGAGTTATACGTGGACCGACGGGACGCTCTTGTTGAGGACCTGCGCTCTCATTAGCTGGACGCTGGTCATGATCTTCTTCTGATGACCCATGAGCGTCACGCCAAGCCTCTGGATGTCCCTGGTGACACGAAATCTAAATCAATTTCATCATCCACACTGGCAAAAGCAGTGCTGTGAAAAAAAAGAACTTCACTTTAAACAGGCTTTTGAACTTTCTAAGACTGTGTGCTGGTCGTGTTTAGGGGTGGGACCCAGCGCAGGCAATGAACCAGAGTGTGAGATGATGTACAAAATGGAAACTTACAAGAGAAATGGAAAAACTGACAGAGAAAAACGACTGAACTAACAGAAAAGAACAGGAGGAAAAACAAAGTCGCAGAGGAAAAATGGAGGACAAGGACTGACAGAAAGACAAAAAGCTTTGTTTCCATCACCAAGGATGGAAACAAAACAAAAATAACCTTGCGATTTCTGTTTCCAAATTATGAGAAAGGCAATTAAAATCACATGTGGATATATTTTTTTACTCGCTAACTCATTAAAAACATGCAGCGCCGTCTTCCTGTCGTAGTCTTCTTCGTGATTTGCAGCAGTGGCAACATTGTGACTTGTGTGAGACACACACACAAAAACATTTCCACTGGAGTTTTGCCATTAAAGCAATTTTAATATGGCAGACAAATCACATCAGCATAGAGCCAAAAGCTTTTTTCTTCCAAAACTGTCACAAATTTATTTTCGAAATGTCAAATTGCAATTGTGTGGTCAATGGAAATGCAGCTAAAGAGACCAGAAGAGCTAATCACAGTTGAGTGGAAGCAGCTGGTGAAGGGAGCAGGCAGAGGCAACTGAGGAAATGATAAACTGCTGGGAAGAGGAGCAGAGACTGAGGGGAAGGTGAGAAATAAACAAAGCAAGAAGAAAAGAAAACCCAGCCAGATACATGCAGTAAAGAAACTATTTTTAAAGCACAATCTATGAGAATGAATGAAGTAACACAAGATATAAACTAAAAGTGAAAAAAAACATTGAAGAAATAATCAAAACATAAACATAAATGAAACTACTGATCATTACAGCAGCGCTCTGCAGATTCATCAGGTTGCAGTGTGAACAGCTTTGCTCAGGACTTTAAAAAAAAAAAGCATATTGTTTGGAATTTATTGTGATTTCTTAACTTTTGTCTTACTTGGTTAATGTTGCTTATTTAGCCTGGGTCTACTTTGTGACTTCTGTCACTGGTGTGTTAATAACCACTTGATTGTAATGTTGGTTTAGTTCCATTTTAGATAATTTGCTCAGTGCCAGTTCACAACAACCATTTGATATTTCATAGTTTATAGTATTTGGTTCTTCAGCCGGATGGCTCCTCGCAGTTCTCACCCTTGCTTCATGCTTATGACGTGTCCCAGAGTGTGGAAGCCCCCTGCTGCAAAGTGCTCTTTGTATCGGCCCATCTTTATGGTGTCCAACCACTCGTCTACAGAGTTACAGCTGCTGAAGTCAGGGATGGCTCTCTCCACTAACGGAGGACTGCTTAAACTGCAGCAAAGAGAAAAGGGAAAGGCTTCGGTTATGGGAAATCAGCTTTTGATTGTGCTTCCACATCTCCTCAAACGAAACACACGTCCTATGCAGACGGACCGGAGTTTGATTACAACGGACCAAACAGAGACGATATGAAAGCACCCAAAAAAATCCTTCTACTTTGTTCTGTCTCAAGCCCAGATTACATCTTCTGCTGCTGCACGATGCTCACACACCAATAACTCTTTAGGACTCAACATCCGTACTTCATGGTTTCAGGGAAGTTCCAGTTTCAGACAGCAGGTCCCCTCAAACATGCCACCAGGTTGACTGGTGGCATGTCTGGTGGCAATCCATACCACAGGATGGATTGCAGTTAATACACAGAGAATTTATCACAAAAATGATGAGGAAAAAACCTGTTTGTAACTTTATCCAACCACATCCACCCTGGACAGCAGACAATGGATTGTGGATTTACTCTGCCTCTCTCAGTAGGGCACCTAGTAGCCGTACAGCATGTGTTGTCCTGAAAATCCTCTTCTCTGGAGGTGGTGCCTTTGCTCTGACTTGTAGCTTAATCTCCTAATCACTTAAACCAATATTTAATGAAATGCTCAGATTCCCACTGATCAAATTAAGCCGGGCGTGTTACACAGCAGAGCCACGTCAGGTCACCGCACACAGAGATGCAGCGAGCCTCCCACCTACCTGCAGAGAGTGTCCATGGACTTCAGGTTCTCTGGGTTGCGGATCAGCTTGTCAAGAACGGTGACGATCTGGCAAAAGCGCGGCCTCTCGTTGCGATCTTTCTGCCAGCAGTCCAGCATGAGTGTGTGCAGAGCAGCGGGGCAGCCCATCGGCGCAGGCAGCCGGTAGCCCTCCTCCACAGACTTAATGACCTGCAAATGTTCAGCAAAAGCCACACGTCACCAGCACAAACAGAGGGAAGAACTCTATTGGCAAAGGTCCGATCTGGCTGACAAGGCTCACGTCTCTGTTGGTGAGATTCCAGTACGGCCGCTCTCCGTATGACATCACTTCCCACATGACCACGCCGTAGCTCCAAACGTCGCTGGAGGAGGAGAACTTCCTGTAGGCGATGGCCTCCGGAGCCGTCCAGCGGATTGGGATTTTTCCACCCTATTGGTCAATCCGACAGCGTTACATGTTGCTCCTCTGTAGTTGAGCAGTTTCTCCAAAAATGCACCGATTATTATGAGGTAAACTTTTTTTTTGTTTTTACAATATATTTAGTCTTGAAATCTATTTAGTTTTTTTTGGCAACATTTCCATGATTAATCAAAATGCATTGCTCATGGTGGAAATCAACCAATCAATGCCAGGGGGAGGGTGTTAGCGCTGTCAATCATGCTCATGAACATGCTGCCAAGTGTGCTAATGGCAAAGAAACATCTTATCGTTACAAAAAAAAAAAAAAAAAAAAAAAAAAACAACATTTATATGTCGTTATTGGTGACTGTGCTAATGAGACTTAGTATTCACAACAGGCTTGGTATCATAGCAGAGAGGAAGAGGATGTGAAGGTGGGAGGTGAGCGAATGATTGACAGCCCTAAGCCCCTCCTCCTGACTATGATTGGTTGCTTCTTGTTAACACCAGGAGTGCTGGGAAAAGTCAGATTTAGCTTGATTTTTTTCACAAATTATCTGACTCATGCTATACCGTCACAAAATAGTGACAGTTTCAACAAATATGGAAAATTATTATTTTTTTTTTTTAATAAAAGTTGCATAAAGACACAATGAGGGGAGCCTGATGAAGAGGCTGGAAAAAAGATTTACATCATTTGAACTTTTTCACATTTTGACATAAACCACCGGCTTGAATGCAGTGAAATTTTTTCACTTCACTTTTTTTTTCTTTCAGTCCTATTTTTTTGATATTTTTTCCCCTTTTCTTTCATGTGGAATTTTTTTGTGGAGATGGTCATAGGTTTATGGGGAGGGGATTGCTCAGGGTAGAGTGTGTACAGAAATATACAAATATGGACGCTTGTGGTTACATTAAACTATTGCAGTGTAATTTACTTAAGTGCTGCAATTTATTTTGCTCCTCTTTGAAGAAAGGTGCGTCGTCTTGCTTCTCTTTAATGTTGAAACATCTTAACTTTATACTTCAGCCTGACTCCGTCGCCGCCTTTATCTCCAGAAAATGTGGCGCTTTGGTAAAAGTTTCCTAATCTCCTGGCAGTAATGGGAACTCTATTAATCTCCAAGTATTATCGAGCATTAATTGGAGGTGTGCTGTAATGACGCTGTGCTTTCTCCACTATCTACCACGCTCTGCGATCCCTCTCCTATCAGGACAACGCTGAGCTGCTGCTCATAATCCCTCTGCATTCTGTAATATGATTGCTGTGCTTAGACAGACTGGGACAAACAAACGCATTATTTTCATCTGTGCGCTGTTAAGTGATAGAATCGGATTTTGAAAGCTTTTTACTTTTTTTTTCACTTGAAACTCAATACTTTAGTTCTCAATGGGCTGCAAGATTAATACGGAGCTACTCCCGAGTGAAGCGCCTCCACAACCAAGACAATTTTTACTTTGCTCCCACTTTCATATGACTTGATTGAATTTGATTGAATTGCTTCTGTAAAAGTGTATTTGAACCAAACTTTACTTTGTCTTACTTTCTAGGCCAAACGTCAAACTATGAGTTCATTTTTTCTTTTAACAGTGTGAAATGTGTGTGTGTGTTCATGTGTGATCGCCCGCTCCTGTTGTCATTAAGTTTTCTGTCATTTTTAAGTAGATTTAATTAACTTTAATTTTCTTCCAAATTAAAATGACTACACTTTGAAGGATTCCCTGCTGTTTGTCTCACAGAGCCCTGTGTCGCCTGTTTCAGACTGTCTTGATCAACTTGCTTTAAAATGTGACTTTCAAAGAATATTCAGTGCTTATCATAGATAAGATGTTTAAAGAATATAATTAAGATCAAATGTTTAAAATCAAAAAATGTACTAAATGAAATAAGACTAAAATTAACTCAAACCAGACGTTTCGCTGTCGAATGTTTTATGATACTTCTCCACAAACAGCAGCCAAATCCAGAAAATGCCTCCTGGAAATAATTAGTTCACCATCGTTTTCACCATGCCCCATCTAGTGTAGCGCCCCCTGGCTGTGTCTTTATAGATCTTTCACAAAAAAATCCAACAAAATACATTTAAGTTTGTGGCTGCGGCATAAAAACATGTAGGAACATTGAAGGGGAGTGAATATTTTAGCTAACCACTATAAAATAAATACTGTTCATTTAAATGCCTTATCAAACAAACGAAAATCAACATCAGTACCAAATATTTTGCCATAGAAATATTTTTCCATTAGTGAATGACTGGTAGGAAACTAGAGAAATCCTGAATGAAAATCAAACAAGTTTTTCCATGAAGCCAATAATGGGAAAAAGTTACTCAAAGCAACTTAACACATCATCTGGCCAAATGAGGTAATCTAATTTCTAACATGTTGCTAAATCAAGTCTTTAATGTTTTAACACTGCATTATTAATCAGTTCTTATTAACGTCTTGTCTCTTTTGAGGCCAGGCAATTCATTTAAAAGAATCTCTAAATGTGTGTGAGTGTGTGTTGTTGCGTCAATGCTTGCCTCAATGTGAAAACTCACACTGGTGGTGTATGCAGCGTCGGGGTCGTCCTCCAGGACTCTGGACAGGCCAAAGTCAGATACCTTACACACCAGGTTGCTGTTGACCAGGATGTTGCGGGCAGCCAGGTCCCGGTGGATGTAGCCCAGGTCGGACAGGTAGGTCATACCTGCTGCGACGCCGCGCAGCAACCCGACCAGCTGGATGACGGTGAACTGGCCATCGTGTCTCTGAGAGAAAGGCGAGGAGAGGTGATGGTTATGGTGCTGCGAAAACGTCTCCCTACCCTTCAAGGCTAGATTAGTTTTTGTTTTTCTTCTCATACATGAGTGTTTCAGATCATCAGAAAATAAATAAATGAGTGTGTTGTGGACGGGTGAATGAGACTCTAGTGTAAAGCGCTCTAAGTGGTCAAAATGACTGGAAAAGTGTCATATAAATTCAGTCCATTTACCATTCCTTCACTGAAGGAAGCAAAGGAATAGCCATTGCTAAAAGTACAGGCAATTGACAACTTCTCCTGTTCCCTGACTGGCCCAGTAGAAATTCAACAGAAATTCAACCCACTTCAATGGGAGTAAGTTGAGTCTGTAAGGGAGATGAGAATTGAGTGGGAAAGCACAGGAAAGAATTCCCCCAATGTAAAAACCAGAACTTTCTTCTTCATAATATTAAATCACGTATTTGAGGTTTCATCTATAAGCCTCAATGATGCCTTTTCACTAACAAAAAAAAAACAGAGAACCTTCAAGATCAGAAAACGGCGAATAATGCCTCAACCTCAAGAAATTCAAGACCTGATAAGAAACAAAGTCATTCTTTAAAAGGTTACAAAACGGCTTATGGTATGCAGGGACTCCAGCACAATGCAGTGACGGTCATTAACCACACATGACTAAAACAGAGACGTCAGGTGAAGTTTCCCAAAAGTGGTCAACCTGATTAAAGAACTCCTGGAGTGTACCTACGACTCTTTCAGAACCTGACAGAAGAACACAGAGCAAAACGCATACTCAATTGGTCTCAGGTCTTGATTCCTCAATAAGTTTCTGGGAAAAAAATTATGGCATCTTGGGATCCTCTGGACCTGATAAAGAACTATACAAGTGCAGAGCATTCACCAGAGGTAGAACTTTGTACCAGAACCCATCTGGGATTGATCTGCTCCTTCAGCAACCAGACAACTCGACAGTTATCCCAATTAATCAATCAATGAAATAAATCAGAAAATTCTAAAGTAAACTGTCCAGCCATCACCTTAACCTAAAGCACAGTTGGGGTGAGCAGCAGGCTAGTCAATGGTTCATGTGTTTGAGTTTTACATTTCAGTTGGATTGAGATGATGCAATACCTGCTTAAAAACTAACACAAAACACTTTCCCTTAATAAATGAAATCAATATCTGAAAAGAGCTTTTTTATTTACTCACGTCATCTCTATCAGATATTAAAATGCTTTAGATGATCTGAAACATTTAGTGTGACAACTAAAAAGGAAAAAAGAAACAGAAGGCCTGCGAGGGGGTAGATACTTTCTGCCTGGAGCCTTCAGGGGAATATTAGGGGAAAGAAAAAAAAAGAATGAGTGTGATGATACTGAAAATGAGCTGAGTAGATTTTAATCAAGATAGAGAACACACTAAAGATAAGGCAATAAAGCAGTAATGTCATAAGCTTTAAAGTTTTAATCTACAGCATTTTCATAGAAGCAAAGACTGAAGCTGATTGAAATAGTGAATGTAACCTATAAATGAACCTAGTAGAAACAATGCATCAAGACTCAGAAAGAAATGCCTCTAGTCCTGTCAGAGAACCAACTCTTCAGTGGAATTATTTTCTGCACTTCATGTTCCCTGCTTCCATTAAATGATGATTGTTTGTGCCATACCAGAGGCATAAACCTCTTAACACTTTCTGAGTCCAAGCTTCTCCATTTTACTCAAATGTGTGGTCCATGCTCGTTTGCAATCTCGACATCTTGTTTATTGCAGCCAAAGCATAACATTTGATTAATCACGCTTAGCATATCCTGGTCAATTCTCTCAAAACTATTAGGAGGTTTGCATCCTAGATTTTATTTTCTTTTTTGGGGGGACATTTTAAAAGTTTGCTCAAAATTCAGCTTTTTTGTTTGTTTATTTTCTGTCATTTGAATGGAAACATTCCCACTGGGTTATGATTTAACTGTAACTGGAACAAATAAACAGTCTTAAGAGGAGAAGCAAAGATTTACATGTAGAAAAAACCTAAATAAAAACAGAACTGCAGTGTAAAAACAGCAAACTTTGCTTCAAGTCGATTTAAGAGCTGATCGTAAATGAATACAAACCCTCAGGAAGGCATCCAGAGAGCCATTCTCCATGTACTCTGTGATGATCATCACTGGCTTACCTGGACATACACACAGAAATATTCAGCCACCTTCATATCCAAAGCTTGCAATGTTTATTAGCACGCCTTATTTTTTTAAATGTACTAAACGCTGTCGTGTCAGGTACATGGGAAGGTGATGTGGGAGTGTTAATTTCTAATAACTGGGTCTTTTGCTGCTTTTCAATTGAAGGGCTGATATTTGTTTAACTTCTCTATCACACAATGTTTTTTATTAAATGACTCGTGGTAACTTTTGCACTGGATTGTAGTTTGGGGATTAGAGAATGACCCCTATTCTGTACATTCATCGTCTTTTTAATCTGTTTTGACAGCCATCTTTTCATTTTCCTTCCACTTCACAATTACCCACTACTTTGTGTTGGACACAAAATATCCCAATTTAAATCTGACAAACTGCAAAAGGATTTATGAGGCAAGACTACCTGTTTGGCACACTAAGCATCTTTTTTTGTACAGCACCTCCTGGCTAAGATATTGACAAATGGATGGAGTATTTTGGCGTCAGCGTACTGTGAGTTACCACCCCTTCAAGTCGGATAACGTTTGGATGATCAAACTGGGCCATGATGGACGCTTCAGCTAGGAAGTCCCTCTTCTGTTTCTCAGTGTATCCCGCCTTCAACGTCTTCAGCGCCACGGGGATGTCTCGTTTCCCAGGAAGCCTCATCCGTCCGTAACACACCTCTCCGAATTCTCCTGAAACCATGACAAAGAAACAGCAGAAAATTTGAAATGTTCTGTTTCACTTTTTGAAACAGAACATTTTTCCATTTCAATAAGTGAAGCTCTTGGGAAAAAATAAACATTAGTGTCTAAGAACTAATAAACATTAGTTTCTAAGAACATACAAATAACAGAATTATGAAGAGTTTGGATGACAACGTACTGGTACTGGTGAGCTGGGTGTCAAAAAGACTCCACAAAACCAGTGCACTAAGTGTTGAAATTATAGTTACACAGTAGATTATTATGAAATCTGGATTTTAAACATCTCCCAATGTACTGAATATGGACTCTGATAGGACTGTACCGACTGCAGTTTTCTGGCTGATCATTGATTACCAATTCTCAAAAGTCCTGCCAATTCTGATTTTGTCTGATACAAATATTTTTTTGTCTGAAATATGGCTAAATATTGCCACTGTTGAGTTGGCAACAGTGGGGTGAGTGTTGTTAACTGCAAACATGCAGACATGAGTTGGTGTGCGGGGTTAACAGTCAAATCTCTCAGGGGAGAGCAGTAGAGGACATTGGTTGATTTTTAGACCTTTGCAAAGATAGATAAGGTCAGTGGAAGAGATCAGCTTCACATGTAAGTATCGGCTGATCACCAATCTCCCAAAATTAAGGAAATCGGCACCGATAAATCAGTGCATGCCCAGCTTTACCCTCACCCATTCTGCAGCTGGTTTTATGAATGAGACTGTCAATTAATTTGCTTTCTAAGGTAAGACACAGAAATAGACTTAAAGCCTGACTTTTCACATAGCAAATACAGGAGCTAAGTATAACTTGTGTCTTATCTTGCAGACGGGAGAGCTCTGATTTCCACGTTGTGTGTCTGTGTGTAGCTACAGCAGTCATATTGTGGAGCTGACACAGTGTTAGTATTCCCTGCCTGGCTGCTGAGGTGTGACTGACGGCTCCACGCAACGCTCTGATTCCATTCTGCCATCCTCCTCTCTGCTGCACCCTGCAGCCTTTTACACCGGCCAATGATTTTAAGTTAGCCTACTCAATGAGTCTTACTCTGTGTGTGTGTGTGTGTGCCTCTGTTTGTGTGTGCGAGCCCATGTTTTTTTTTTTTTGTTTGTTTTTTTCACCTGAGCCGATAATTTTCTCGATCTTGATCCTGGAAGCTTCAATTTCTCTGGCAAATTCGTGGACCGCCTGGCAGGGGTCCTCGTACGTGTGCGGGTCGATATAGAACCTCGCGTCGGGGAATGACACTAAGATAAACAACATTAGCATTTGGTCACATAGCGGAGGACGGGAGCGGCATCACATCTGAGCCCGAGTTGCTGGGGCGCACCGGGAAAGCCTGATGAAAGGACCGGCAGAGAGACAGAAGGAGCGAACACAAATAGACAGAGGAGGAGGAGAGCGGCCTCCTGCAAGCACAGGCTGATGAAAGCTGTTTGCTCTGAGGATTTCATTTATTATATGTGAACGAAAATGCTATCCCTTTAAAAGGGCAGTATTATGTAAAGCCAACTTTTTTTGAGCTTTACATCATGTTATAATGTTATTCCCTCATCAAAAACATACCTGAAGTGTTGACTTGTTTCTTTCTTGCATGTTTGAGAAATCATTTAATCTCCATGGCAACCACTCACTGTGCAAAATGCCTGATTGGACCTAGCTCCGCCTTTGAGGCGCAAGTGCTTCTTAGAGATGCAGTTTCCAAACATCTGGTTCACAGAGCAGCTCTCCCCTGCTCAGATCCTTCAGACTAGCCCAGCGTAATCAGCAAACACCTGGTGGATCTGCACATCTGTTGAGCTCAATATAAGAGCTACGTCTCAGTGAAACACTGGTAAAAATGTTGTTTAAGAGCTAATAATGGAGCCATGTTGTGATGACTTCTGAGGGACGGAGTTTCAGAAAGAGCAGAAGTTTTTAAAGCAATAGAGAGACAATTACAAGGTGTTAAATTAGGAAGTCAAAAAGGTTTAAAGTCAAATTTATTTGATCTATGCAACTGAACTTAACATAGTTACTTTATTCTGCTAAAAAAATGACTATATGCCTGGAAAACACAATACTGCCCCTTTAAGAAATGTGTTTTAATCTGTTACTAGTGACGACTGAATAATGGAGTAAACATACCGTGACCATTCTGGTAATGCATCTTTTCCTCATCGGAGTCCTGGAACGCTTTGCTGTAGCCACAGTGTCTATACACACGCACACACACACACACACGCATACACACACACAGACATAGAGGCACACACAGAAACATACAGAGCGATGAATACAGGACAGCACAGCTACATTTCAAGTATCACAAAAATACATAATACAAAATCCAAACTGCTGTCTGGGGTTAAACTCAGACTGTGATCCATAACATATTTCCTTTCTTAAAAGGAGGCAAAATGAGGCTTCAGTTTGCAGCGTTCTTCAAATACTTAATGTTTACCAACGTTTCGTCTCACCTCAACCCAGTTTTCTGTACCGGTTTGTTTTATGAGCTGGATGTAACAGTTACACCCCCAGTAAGGATTGTTAGCATTTAAAACTGCAATATGCAACTTTTTAATTAAAAAAAAACAAACAAAAAAAACTGTGGAACTTGTCATGATAGTTTGATATGAGCCATGGAAAAAATAAAAAATTAAGATCCTCTGCCTTCTCCCAGTAATAACTAGAAACAACCAATCAGAGCAAGGAGGCTGGTCTTAGGGTGGTGACACCATGCAGCTCTCTTTCTGCTGCATGTAGGACGTTCTGTCATGAATGGTAAGACTGGTTAGCATGGCCACCAATGATGGTGGATAAACAGTTTTTCTGTAAGGCCATCAGCACATTTAGCAGCAAGTGCATGATTTGATTGACAGCACTAAGCCCCTCCACCTCTGATTGGTTGTTTTTGGTTGGGAGCAGTGGATTTCTTCAGAGCAGCTCATAGAGGTGGTGGAGATTGATCTTTTCACAGATTACGTGTCTCGCAACATGCAATCACGACACGATGGCAGTTTCAACACATCTGTTTTTTTATAGATGTTTCTTAATCCACCTCTGAAGAAAAAATGCTTGTATGAAATATTTACTAAAAAGAATAAAAAAAAAGACAGGAGAGCTTGTTCACTCAAATACATTCAGAGGTTCTCAACAGATATGTTGTTTCTACACTTATTCTCATTTACATGTACAGCAGCACTAAGATGCAGAAAGCTTCATGTCCTGTTCTTGTCCTGTTGCTTCTGTCTTTTTGAAGAAAAAGGAACATTTTAAATATGCAAGGAACCTTTGGAAAAACTATGTAGAACTGTTAGAACATCAAACCTCCTGGATGATAACTCACTTTAATTTATTTGCAGTTATGAACTGAGAGCTCGCAGCCTGCTGTCAGCAGTCTGAGGGAGCTTTTCGTAAATTCATGGACCAGTGGTCCATTTTCCTTCACGCCAGCATGAGTGACGCAGTCGTTCATCGATCTCTTCGACTGGCAGCTTGTGGTGCGTCTGGTAAACTGGACCATTCTAAAAACTGAGCCTTGGTTTGGATAACATCCTTATGTCTTCTGAGTTAAAGTAGATTTCTTTCCTCTAACAAAGTTAATTTAATAAACCTAATATGCATGAAACTGTGAACCAGTTCAGGTAATTAAATGTAATTATTTGCTACAAATCTACTAAGTTGTAAGAGGGAGACATTAGAGTAAGAAGGAGGAGGAGGAGAAGGGTGATGGCGGGTGTGGAAACACTGGAAGGTTGTAATTAAATTCGCAATGAGTTGGGAAATTAGTTAAATGCTACTGTGAGAAGAAAGAAATGGATAGATTTCAAAACTCTTTCATCCTTTACAACTAATTAAGTCCAGCTCCATGAAAGCGGCAGTAAAAGTGTTTGTCGTTGATTATCAGGGGTGCAACAGTACATCCAGATCATCAGACAAGATTACACCCAATACTGGATTCATGGCGCAAAACATTTTTGGGAAAAAACTGAGAATAATCCTTTTGATTTTTCACAAAATTTGACATTGCAAACTGTGCAAAGAACATAAGCAACATTCTGTATGTGGGTTTTTATGCTCTTCAATTTATTCAATTTATTTTGCCCCTTCCACAAGGTCTCTATAGGCAGAAGACTTCATGAATCTAATCTGAAATTCAAAAACTGTGTATCAAAGAAACTTTAGTCCAGTTTGGATTTTGTCAGTCTCAGCATTTTTAATTCTGAACTAGAGACAATCAAATGCAGCACAGACTGATTAAAAATGTTGATGTAGCCCTTTAAAGGAAATGCTCACCTTAGAGTTTTATGGCATTATTGTGAATTCAATCAGTTTGTCACTCAGTTAGCTTATCTTTTTTCCATCTTCTCTGTTAATTTTTGGTATTATTTTTGTCGCAATTCCACATCTGCATTGAATCCAGAATCAACAGATTTTGGATTCAATGAAGTTACAATGTTTTTTTCATTTATTTTTATAATCAGTTATTTGTGCTCTTTAAGTTTCATTGAGTCTGGTTTGGGCCAGTGGCCTAATGTCACCTCAACACCTTGTTTCCTTTTTCACAGTCTTCATTTGTTGAGGAAAAATAAGATTAATTAATAGCTAAAATGATTTTTTAATATAAATTTCCAATGGAGAAGTCCAATGCCATCTGTAAATAAAAGACACAACTTTTTTCTAGTTGTGTGTGTTTTTTTTTCTTTTGTTTGTTTGGTTTTTTTTTTAACAGAGTTGCTAGGGAGAAAAACAAAGTGACAAAGTTGCTAAGTTGGCAAAAGTGAGGCCTGAGTTGCAGTTGTTAGTTATGCAAGTCAATAAACACAAAAGTTATTTTTCTACTTTCCAAATGTAGGCACAGAATGAAGCTGAAAGGACACACCTTATCTTCTTATAGTAGAAACTTAAGTCACATTGTGATAGCAAGACAAAGCTACGTTCACACAACAGGTAAATGCAACCCATATCTGACATTGGTCTGAACGACCCAATCCCAATCTTCTCAGGTCCCCAAAATAAAATCTGACCTGTGCCACTTCTATAGTGGTACCTATATTTAATCCAACTTTTATGTTCTCAGTGTGAGACGTGAAATAATTCTACAGCAGAAGAAGTCAGATGCAGTAAATCCAGATATAAACAATGGCTGAAAGTTAGAATGATGAAAGAAGTCTGTGTCAGTGAAGTGCATCACATCGTAACCTCACCACTGTTGGCTCTGACTACACATCTAGACAGACTTCTCTGCAGAAGCTGCAGTCAATGCTCCACTAAAAGCTGCTGCTATTCGCTGTGATTTCTTTTTATCAGCTTCCTTTGTCTTGTTATAATCTTGTTTCGATGCTGGCGTCTCCCGCTGCTCAACAACTTTAAATTTGATCAATATAAGGTGGTGTCCGTTTTTCTGCCCTCCTGTGTCATGATTATGTTGCAGGTCTTAAAGTGTTCACACAGAAGTCAGATTGCAGCCGCATTTAATTAGTAGTACGAACAACGACAACTTTACACTATGTAAAACAAGTCAAATTTCAGCAAAACATTTGGAATACAGCAGGAAGACCTGTTGTATGAACGTAGCCACACTCAAACTACATTAAGAACCTCAGTGTTTAAATAACAGGAGATCTTTTACGTTCCTACTTAAAGATCGTTCCCTTTCCTCAGTTTTACAGCATATCTCATTTTATTTGCAGCCAAAACCAGCCGTCATTTATAAAGTGCACACAGAACATTCGATCAAACACATGAAGAGAGACAGTAGCATAAGAAAGTGTTCCACACACAGCAGCGACGGGTAGTGTGGTAAAGTGTAGCCTTGCCGTTTCCTGCAGATGATGATGGCCAGGAAGGCGACCAGGCCGGACACCAGGGCCATGGAGATCCAGATGATGGTCATAGTGTTGTAACGCAGAGGAGCTGCAGAGACACAGACCGCCGGCGGTTAGCTGAGGAGAGGCTGCAGCGGTCAACAGGTTACTGTTTACGCTGACGCCGGTGAAGACAGGTAGGTGTTTGAGTTTAATAAGAGACTCAGAACTTTCTAATTACCTTGTGTTTGACTTTGAATGTTTGTCAGCAGCATTATGGCTGCTCGCTGTTCTCCCTGGTAATTAAGTCTGTACTTAGAACTCAAACTGCAACACGGTTAAATAGAAGAAAATACAAACTAAACAAGCAGAGGCAATCAAGAAGATTACAGTCTGTTTATGGCAAAATATAAACAGATGCAGAAAAAATTGAACTTTCTTAAAATCCAGGTCGACCTGGCTTCTCATCGATTCTCAAATACATCTTTGTTATTCTAATGCATAATCGTTCCTAGATCTAAACCAATCCATTGTAGTGCTGGTTATATGGTTACTGCAGATATCCTATTGGAAAATCTGGTTTTCTGACAGCTTTTCTTGGCTTCATCCACCTTCCTTTAGTTGGTGTTTCTTGGGTTACATACTGTACGGTGAGATTGCAGTTGTGCTTTACTCGTTCTGTTTTTGGATGCCCCATTGAACAGTGTTATGTGCATGTTTGGGGTGTTGCTTTATGACCTAATTCTGCTTTAAATGTCTGCACAACTTTTTCACCTGACCCTTTCTGGTCTGCCCCTGGGTCTTCATGAGGATGTCAGTTCATTAACGTTCTTTATCTTTAATTACTCAAAACATCTTCTGTGGTCTATCTCATAAAATTCAAACAAAATTAATTGATGTCTCCCAGCTCAAAAGGGACCATACAGAACAGCTGTTCTGTTTCTACTCTGAACTAACTGAAAGTGTTAGTCCAGGCAGTAATGGGGCTACTTAGCATTTTATTTATGATCTGCAGAGCTTATTGATTGGACAGCATGTTGTCTCCTCGGCTCTCTGATCTGCCTGTTGGCTTCAGAGCCATAAAATGAGAATGAATCAGTATCTCTTAGAGCAGTGGTTCTTAACCTGGGTTCGATTGAACTCCAGGGTTTCTACGAGTTGGTCTCAGGGGTTCGGTGGAACGTCTGCCACAGAGGTAAAGACACACTTGTGTAAAGTCGTGATGACGCGCCCCGCTTGGCCATCACTTGCTGCAGAGGATCACGTGACATTGCTTAGCCAATCAGAGCTGTGGGGAATTTAGTGCGCACAGTATTCAACAGCTGTCGTAGTTGTATGCCGCGTTGGTTTCTTTCTCAGTATTTTAATCCATACTAAACATGTCAAGCGACAAAAGAAAGTGGTCGGACGAATATGTACAACATGTATTCACGTGTGTCACGGAACGGGATGGGAGTCAGAGTCCCATCTGCATGATATGCAACGCCAAGTTGAGCAACTCTATAGTCTCACACCGGCAAAACTAAGGGAACACTTCTTGAAGCTGCATGGAGATGGGAAAAAGTTAAAAAGTATTTTGTGGATTAAAAATGACAAAAACAAAATTTCAAATTTAAAAAAAAAATTAAGTTGTTAAAAATGTTAAAGTCTTTTTAAAAAATCCAAATTTATTTTTAATTAATAAAACAGCAAAAAAAAATTTGTCACAATAATTTTGGGGGGTAAGAATACAGTAATACCGTAATTTTGTTGTGAGTTCATGCACTGTGTTGGTTTTGTTCTTTGAGCAAAGTGATGTTCATGCATGGCTCATTTTGTGCACCAGTAAAAAAAGCTTATACCTATGTCTTGAATTTGGAAAAAAAATCATATTTTATTTATCACTAGAGATAAATAGTGATAAATTATCACTATCACACCCAGCATATGAAACTGGGGGGTTCGGTAGCACAGAAAAGGTTAAGAACCGGTCACCTGCTTTTCCGGTCTGGATCTCGACGTTCTGGCTGAAGCGTCCGCAGCCTGCTGATGTTCTGGCCCGGACCTGGAAGATGTACTTTGTCCCCGGCTTCAGCCCCGACACGAGAGCACTGGTGTTTCTAGTTTTTAGGGTGGAGTAACTGTGCTCTTCATTGTCCTGTCAGACAAACACAGAAATTTCAATTGAGTGTCACTATTTTGAACATGTGAAAACAGAAGACAGTTGAGACTTTCAGTAATAAGTTAGAGGACTAACTTAACTGAAACTAAAAACTCCAGCCATGAATCAAAATAACCCTACAACAAGTTTCCTTTTAGTATAATAATTATAACCTGGGAAAGTATTCTAAAGAATATTCATATTCTTTAGAATACTTTAAGACCCCAAACATGCCAGTGGTAAACTTCTATTCAGTATACTTCTATAGAGAATGCTTAATACAATCTGGATTAAAAATCCAGTTAATTATTCCTGTCACTGCGATCCTCACTTTGTAGAAGCAGAGCGGGTTAAACAATTACAAGAAGTGCTAGTGAGCTCCAAAATGAATGACTCATGCGTCTTTAGCAGGGATTTTGTCTTCATCGTGCTCAGCTAATGAGGAGCAGCAACGGACCACCGCCCTCCACATGACTCTGATTTGTTCTGTGAAGTTCTAGAGAAACCTTGAGAAAACACACTGCTGACTGGTCCACTTAAAATCCTCACACACACACGCACACACACCCCCCCACACACACACACACACACACACACACACACACACACACACACACACACACACACACACACACACACAAAAGTGTCAGCCTCTGGGTGAAGATTAAGACACAGAGCAAGAGACAAGCTAATCCTTCAGCCCTCCCCACCCCAACCTGCTTGTTTGGTTATGAGACAGCAGGCTCCCAGGCCGCTCCTTCTGCAATTAGATGATTCCTATCGCCACACGCACACACACACACACACACACATACACACACACGCTCGCAGCAATTAGCTGATTGTCAGGTTTATGTGCCAAACAGCCGCTCGCTGTCACTGTCACTTCTGCTAAGTTGAAATCCACACTGTCTTGTCCTCCCTGTTCCTCTGCCTTTCGACCCCCATTTCCTTTCAATTAGCGGATCTGCCACCGGGATCCTTCTCCTGGACTAGCTTGTCCGCTCCCTATCCACCACCATGTTTCTCCAGGAGGACCAGCTGTGTTCTGGGTGATGTTCAGAGATACACCTGACGTTTCTCATCTTGATTCAAGTTACATTTTGGTCAGTGATCTGATCGGGGCACCTTTTACCAAATGTTTGCTCTGTCCTTTAAATGGCTTCTGTCAAATTGTAATCAGCACTTCTTCATTAAAAACCACAGTTTCCTCCAAATAATTATGCACAACTTGGAGTTGGTCTTTCAATCATAAGTTTAGTTTATAACATGACAAAAAGGTGTATAAAGAGTTTTTCAAATCAGTATTTTTTTGTTGTTGCAGTGTGAAACTCATCCTCGACTTTTAGCTCCATACCTTCTCATAGTATTTGAGGTCGTACTCTAGGATGACTCCGTTGGGCTGGTCGGGTTCGTGCCACATCAGAGTCACACTGTTCTGACTGGCGTTCTCCTGGCGGATGGATAACACTTCCGAGGGGGCTGTGGAGCAAACAGGACAGATCAGGACACACAAAAAGACAGAAAGCGTGTTTACCGTGATACAATACACAGCTCCTAATGGGATCATGCGAATGCCCCACTGGGCAGAACATGAAACTTGTGTCAGTGACAGCCAGCTCAAACCAGTACAAAACGTAATGTTTGTTAGATGCCTGTCTGAATCTGAAACCCTCATCAGCAGCAGAATATTGTCTCACTTCCAGAAGAGCTACAGAATGGATATTAATTATTCATGTAGATATTTTCAAACCCCTGAAGGTTTTGACTGGGACATGGTTTTCTTCAACAGATAAAGATAAATGGTTCAAATTCTCATTAGTTTGAATGTAAATCATTTTAACTGAGCGATTCAACACACAGAGATTCAAAATGTAAACAAAGTGTGATTATTTGCTTCCTAATAATCGCTGGGAGGAAACTAAAAATGCAACCCCCCCCTTCTTTTTCTCTCAGACAACAACTTTTTGATCAGCTGAAAGCTAGCTTCGGGTTAGCTTAAGGTTGACTTAAGGTTAACATTCGGCTATCTTAAGGTTTGCTTCTGGCTAGGGCTGAGTGTATAGTCGAGTTTTATGACTCTATCCCAAACTGGTGAACTCACCAGAGTCTGGACATCATTCATTCATCTGATTTGATCCCCATTTTGTATATATATTCCTTTTGTCTTTTCCATCAGAAGCCAGATTGCATCTCAGTAGTTAGAGACAGGTCATGTAGAGGATAATTCAGCTGTAAAGTTAGGCCATCATGTTTACAAATTCTCAGACTTAATTGGAAATAAGCGTTCTAGTGATAATTCCTTGTTGTGGTAAGAGTTCAGAGATTATTCCTTCACGAGAAACTGAGTTTGACTTATGATTGAGGAGATAATGGATGGTGCCCTGATTCAAATAAAGAGACTTTAACTTCACTAACAATTTCATTTCTAATGAATTATTCATCTTAAATATTAAACAAGTAGATAAACCATTTTTTACCCTTACTTGAGATATTTTATTAGGAAGTATTGCTACTCTTAATCGAGTAATATCATAATTCTCTAGAGACATAGTGAGTAACTTCACTAAATGAAAAACGATGTTTAACCAAAACATAACCACACATAGACACACACCTGCAGGGTTTGTTAAAGTTTTATAAGTTTTTTAATTGAAAAAAAAAAAAAGATTTGGAAACATTTTCTTTTGCCTGATTTTGTCATTTTTTTGTTACTTATATAAATAATTGTCATTTTGTTCCCTAAAATTGTGAAATTTCCACTTAACTTTACATTTTGATCCATCTGATGATGTATTTTTAAATATTAAATGATTCATAATTTGATCAGTTACTCAGTATCTCTGTAGACTTTTTACCAATTTTTTTTTTCTATTGTAACTTCTTTCAAGGCTACATTTTACTTTTATGGGAGTAAAAATATGTTGAAGTTGTCCTTCTCTTAATTGAGTCAAACTTTTGGATACTCTGCCCACCTCTGCTCAATACTTGAGGTTAACTCCAAAGTGTTTGTGTGATTCCATATGTTTGCGTCGTGAACCCTACCTGCCTGGTTTGTTGTGATGTTGACCACAGCATACGGCGAAGCCTCGTTGCTCAGGTGTGTCACAGCATTTGTGGCCAGGATGCGGAAGGAGTAGTTGGTGTGGGCCACCAGGTTGAGCACCGTCACCCGGGACTCCGTCAGACCACTCTGGCGAGGAATGAATCGGACCGCGGCGCTGCCGGAGCGCTCCACGATGCCCCCACCTCCCAGGCCGATGCTGGCCCCGCCGCCCACCTTCCCCCCACTGCTGCCTCCAGGGGAAGCAGTGCAGTCCTCACAGGGCCCGTCCCCTGAGCACCTCTTGCACATTATGCTGTACTGCAGGTCGCTGCGTCCCCCGGTATCCAGCGGCCGATCCCACTCTAAGACCACAGACGTCCCATTGACTGAAGAGATGACGTTCACTGGAGCGGTTGGAGGGCCTGGAGAAAGAAAGAGAGATTTACTGAAGGTTCAGAGGTGACGTGTGATTGGTCTTTTTAAATTTTGATATGTCTGAAACAAAGCCAAACGGATTTCCTGTTTGATCCACAGTCTCAAGATGTAAAACTCATTTTCTCCTTTTGCTTTACCCTGCTGTCGTTTTATTTTTAGGCAGTTATGAAACACGGTGGGGAAACCTGAAACTGCTGCTGCAGCAAGTTTCTCACCAGGTTGTTGCTAGGTAACCAAAGAGCGAGTGAATCCGTTGATGCCACCAAGCTTGCTTAGCTGACTGTGAGAGTTAAAGCCTTCCCTCTGCCTACATCCCCCAGAATGCTGTGTGATTCTAAATTAGAATTCAGTGATGTAAATGAAAATACTGTCATTGATGTTGATCACCTGTCTATCGCAACATTTGTTGTTATTGATTTGTCGCCCAGCCCTAGTGAAAAGTATTTGCCCCGCTATAGATTTCTTTTGTTTTTGTTGGATCCTTAAATTCATAGTAATTTTATGATCAGACAAACCTGAGAAAACGAAAATATAAAGATATATTTGACACTCTTAGTAGTAACTATTTCCCAGTCAGTCTTTCTATGTAATGTGGAACAGCTTTCTTCATCTTTTCAGAATTGATATTTAATCTACTTGTTTTTCTTTTTTCTTGACTTGAACATTTTAGTCATTTTACTGCGTGTGTCTTCAGTGGTTAAAAGTCCGTCTTTGTGTATTTGACCTCTGTAAAACCACTTGTGTTGCACTTGACTATATGAATGATCTATAAATAGAGTTTGATTGATTGCATAATCAGGCCATTGCTTGATTGGTGTAAATGTGCTTAATTCCAGTAATTTCAAGATGTGATAAAAGGGGGGTGATTATAACTTCAGATTGATTCGGATAGTTTCATCATTTGAAAACATTTCTTTTGTATTTACTCAGTTTAACTTCATTTGAATATCAGATTTATAAATTGGCAAATCTGTGCAACAAAAAGTAAAAATAATTAATCTGTAAGGGTTTGATATTTTTTTCACAGTATCAAACCTACAGTTTGATACTATAGTAGTATCAAGTTGTCCTTGCAGATATAGATTAAGCACATCTACTTTGATAGTACACGTATTTCACCCAGTCCGGCTACATCTACAAGAGACCACTGACGGAAAACTGATTGTATGTTCAAATGCTGATTGGGAAAAAGTTTAGAGGCACTGCCCCGACACCTTGAGTCAGCTTTAGCTGTCATGCCAGGCCACTGGATGGTGCTGTGATTTTAGCGTGTCACCAAATGCGCATTTAGACTCCGATCTGGTCACCGGTGTGAATGAGCAATATTGGGGTGTACTGTGTGTATGTGTGTGTGGGGTGTGTGTGTGTGTGGGTGTGTGTGTGTGTGTGTGTGTGTGTGTGTGTATGTGTGTGTGGGTGTGTGTGCGTGTGTGGGTGTGTGTGTGTGTGGGGGGGGGGGGGTGTATTGTGTGTGTGTGTGTGTGGTGTGTGTGTGTGTGTGTTGTGTGTGTGTGTGTGTGTGTGTGTGTGTGTGTGTGTGTGTCCTTACGGGAGCAGGGTGCTGCTGCCGGGTCATCTGCAGCCCTGTAGTAGTTGGAGTCACAGGGGCAGGAGACGGCGGCTCTGGTCTCTGAGTGGCTGTGTTGGGGACATTTCCCACACGGGCCGTCGCCTGCAACCGGCTTATAGAAACCCACCTCACAGGCTGCACAGAGACAGAGAAAACAGCCAATGTGTTTATTAGCATATCAACTTAATCAAACAATATTGTTAAACCTAACTCCAAATCATCCATCTGAAGATATATGGCCCTCTGCCCCCAGCCACTGAGTGTAATCTATAATTATCGGCTTGTAACGGCAGAAACTTCACAGCAGAGATGAAAGCCATTCTTGCCTCTGCTCAGATTTGGGCTGAAAATATCCTGAACTGTTGATACTCCCTGTGAGACCATCAGAATCCAGCCCAAGCTTTGGCGCTATTCAGCTTCTCTGATACATATTCACTTTTAACTCTGCACTTATTAATAATGGAGAGCTTGCTGATAAATATATTCTCTTTCCAGGCAGCTAATAGGCTTTTGCAATGGTAAATGGGGCAGATGTGGAGCTGCTTACACAGAAAAACAGCAGCAGCAGACAACTTTATCAGCTTGCTCTCCCCCTCACCAGATAATTTATGCTCCCCCTTAAATACATGTGCTGTCTAACAGACAGGGTACCAGCCTCCTTGTTGTCTTGTGAAGTTTATAGATGGCAGCCTTAGCCGTTCGGGTTTAAAGTGAGAAAAAGAAACTATAAAAGTGAATGAGCAAGATTTAAGCTCATTCAGTTCAGCTTATTTATGCAGCACCAATTGACAGCAAAAAAACAACAAATGAATCTAGTTTGAACATAAAAACATGTTTAAACATTCAATACAGTTAGTAACAAATACAGACTCTGCATCAATCACATACATTTTGATTGGATCTTTGTCATTAAACAAGGGAAGTTCAGCTTAATATTCACATAATTTTCTGCCTGAGGAAACCCAGATGTTTGCATTGAGTCCCTTGACTTGCATGAGTTAAAAGCAACAGTGGCTTCATGCAGAAATCCTGCATGCTCAACAAAGATGTAGCAACAGTGGGAAGGAAAACTCTCCCCTATCACAGTGAAAAACACTCAGCAAAACTTTGGTCATTGTGAGCTGTAATCTGCTACGGCCAACTGGAACTATAAAGCTGTTTTCACACCTGACAATCTGGTAAACTCAGTTTAATTGGGGACAAAGTCTCAACATTTGTTACACTTCCAGTCATTTTCAGCTGGTTTCAGTCAAAGTGCTTCTCGTTCACACTGCACTGTGTCAAACGAAGAAAACCTTTTGAAATCCCTGTTCCCCTCCTCGCCTGTGCTGGCACTGCACCACCAACCAATGACGGAAACGGCATGAAAACGTCTGAAGAAGACACAACACAACTTCCTTTTTGATTAAATGTAAACAGAAATGGAATGGGGTCAGATTATAGTGGCTGTAGGGTTTCTCTTTTGTCTTTGGAAAACCACCATGAGCGATTTCTTCTGATAAAGTGTTGTGTGTTTGTTTTGGTTGTATTTACCCAGAATGCCCTTTGCTTTAGTTTGTTAGCCTTTGGAGTGCTCTCCGGTCCAACAGGAGTTCACACCTGCATTTAAATTGCATTCACATTCACCTACAAACCGACACATCGGTTTGTCCTTACGGGAGCATCGGACATCGGTTTGTAGGTGGACCAGAGTTCACAATTTTGGTCGTCATCAGAGTTCAATTGCCCATCGTTATCTCCCCAAAATAAACTGGACTTTGTAGGCTAGCAAATTAAAGTTCAATTAAAGCGGACTAAACAAGGAGCAACAAATAAATAACTAAAATCTAAGTTGACTGCAACATTAGTGCCTTGAGAGTCTACTCAGGAGATTAATGCAGTTTAATAAAAAAGCCCTGTGCCAGTAGTAAAATCTATACAATGACAGAGAGTCCACAGTTATTCCTACCACTAGCTCTGCTAATTGCTCTTAGTCTGAGACAGAGATAGAATGAAACACAGAAAGACAGAGACAGGTGTATCATCTGTAGGACAAGTATTGACAGTAGCTTAGCTGACGGCCAGGCTGGATGTAGATTCTAGGAAGAGTAGCTGAGAGAGAATGTGAAGTTGATTACAGGTAAAACAGCAGATAATGCAAAATTGTTGCATTGTGTGAGGTTTTAGCTGAGTAAAGAAAAGCGATCACCATGTCCCCCAGCAGCCTTGGACTATAACTGCGGTACTTTATAGAACTAGATTGTTCAGCATGTTGTTGTTGTTGTGAATTGGTGCAACGAACAAAAACTGAATTGCATAAGATTAGCCTTCTTCTTGACATTTAAGAACTTCTTTCTGTTTCTCTAATACATAAAACCACAATAATATACATTCAAGGGGTTTGGATTGTTAAAAATGGAAAAAGTGCAATGGTGTGAAAACTCTTGCAATCCCTTATAATTTATGTACATTTAAGTGTTAAAACATCTCATCTGCTAAAAGTGCAACGTAATGCTTCTGTCAGCATGAGCAGAACCACAACCAGCAGCAAAAAAAAAAAAAAACAGCACAAATTATATTGCTGACAGTTTTGACTGGCGTGTGAAAATGAATTTAAAATAAGACATCAAAGACAAACTTCACATCACTGGAGAATCAGCCCGACTTATAAAGTACTTCAGGGCCGGTGTTTTATTTCCGCTCCTGCTTCAATACAGCTGATGACTCAAACAACTGAATTCCCTCATCATCATGTCAAGAGGTAATGAACACATCATTTGATTAATTTCAGGCAGAAAACAACTAAACATGCAGAATCTTGGCCCAAGTGAGATGCCATTCGGCACATCAAGGTTTGAGGTATTTATACAAACCCTGTTTGTTCCTCTTTGCCTTCCTACCTATCAACTTACATTTGTGCTGATATTGAAAACAATTCAGATGTCAGTGACAATGTGCCTGATGCATAAGGGCAGATCTACTCATTCATTTCTATGCTAACTGCACTGACTGAACAAATTAGTTATTGTTACATGTTTGACTAAGCTTGTGAAGCTATTGGTGCACAGAATCAGCCATTCCTAATTCATGTGGTGTTTCAATTATCCATGAATATATGTCATATAAGTTATGTTGAACACAAATAGACAACCATGTTTGAAAGCATGCAATTCTGTCCCACCTGAGCAATGATATCAAAGAATGAGCTTTAACTGTACACCGTCAGCAGCAGAGCCATCACTGGCGTTAGCACCGTCCACAGGACTTCTCTGAGTCTGAATGAGGTTCTATAGATTTTATAATTATTCACTAGTAAATAAAGCAACTGGCTGACATTTATGTCGATGTACACAATCCATATAAAAATATAACTGGACTTTGCAAAGACACGAACAAAAGAAATGGCAGCAAAATATCTGTAACTAATAAACCAAAAGTCTTTTCTATAAGTAGAAACAGACTTTTCACTTAGCGTCATACAAATGATAGCATAAGAAAAAGCTTTTGTTACTTAGACCCATGCTGGTCATTATTCAATTTTCATTAGTTAGTTTTTGCCATTTATGAGTCACAGTAATGCCCATTTCTGCCTGTTCTTTCAGCTACAGAAACAGGCTCCAATTAGGAGTGACTGGAGAACACAGAGGAGCGGAGGAAGCAAATAAAAGCCAATTGTGTTTCAGTAATACTTATTTTACTCAAGTTATATATTTCCTGTTAAACTGATGAGAGATATATGGAGCCATACTTCAGTGAGCTCATCATGTTCCACATCAAATTTCAGATCACATTGGTGTTGAACAAATTTAAATATTATTACTTTTCAAACAAGTGTTCAATTCTACCTGTTTGTATTATATGTCTGCCTCAAAAGTAGTTAAAGAAGCAAATGCGGCCTGCATTGCTCCTGGTTGCCTAAAGAGGGCAGACCTGAGCCAGTGCGGCTCTGGAATAAAAATGCTAATTAAAAACCTGAAAGTTTGTGGAGCTTAATGTTAAAACAATTTATTTATCTTGAAATGCTAGTATTTTTTATATTAATTTAGAATTTCTGTTAAAATAACCCTAATAGATGGTCACACTTCAATACCATTTATATTTTATAGTTTTGACTCACCCATTGTAAGAAGATTAATTCTGGAAATCTGATCCTCATGTGAGTCCATCTTAGCAAAACATATCTGGGAGATCGATCAAAACTATGAACAACAGAACAACCAAAGTGAAAGATTTTTCTTAATCTTATATTGTGTTATATTGATTGGATATATTTCTTCATATTCATTTCAATATTAAAGTGAATGTCCTCTTGCAGAATGATTTTCACAATATCATAATGCAACTTAGTTTGATCTAAAGCTGCTGTTTTGTGACTGTTATCTGTTTATTTTGTAGTCATTTTTGCTTTTAATGTATTATTTGATCTATGTATGTCAGATTTATTAGTTCATGTTGAATGTGTTGATCCCAGGAAGAGCAGATGCAGGGACCTGCAACTAATGGGGATCCAGATAAAAGAAAGGAAGACATTTTTTCTTTGCAAAGCAGCAGAATGTTGTGAGTAACTCTCAAGTCATTAAAATGGCAACCTTAATAGCGTGGAGACATTCTGCAAAGCTGAAAGGAAATGTGCTGCCGGCTGATATTCTTGTTCCAGTCACTTTAAGCAACAGAGCGACATTTCATTCAACCTAACTAAAGTTCTAATAGGAATATAGGGAAAAAAACAACATCTTTCTCCTAAGCGATCTAAAAGCCAGTACAGTTGTGTGGCATCTTCAGCTCAGTGTTTAAACCTGACTGAAGACAACAGTGTTCATCCCTTTCACACCCTCAAAGTCCATCCAAAGCAAGAAGCAATCCCTTCCAGCAAAATCCATCCCAGACTGTTTGTCTCATTCTTGTTTTTATCCCATTAATCCCTCCATCTCTTGAAGGTTTTGTTGAGCACCCCGAGTTGAGAAGCCAGTCACGTCAGACCTCAGAGCAGCTCGTTCATCAACCAGAGAGAGACAGCAAGCACTCTGAAGTCTCTGACAGCTTCACTGGGGGCTCTTCGCTCACGCACCCCCCCCCCCCCCCACACACACACGCACACACGCAAAGCTTTTGCTAATGTAAACTGAACACAAACATAAACACACGGTTTGTGTTTC